CAGGTGGGGCAGGCTTAAGAACTTTCCACCTCCAATTCAGGTCATAACTGACTGGAACACATCCTATCGCTGCCCAGTGACCAGTGGCTAGTCGGACTTTGTCCTCAGAAGTTAATTTCCAGTGCAGAGATTTTAGCTAGATAATGGCAGACACTTAATTGAAAAGACAGGTAGAAGCAGGCCATATTGGTCTCGAAAGAGTGACGCAAGATATCTAAATAAAGGAGGGGAGGAGGGAAGGGATGAAAGAGAGAGAGCCAGGGAGGATAAGACATATGACATGGACAGAGGCTGGAAAGTAGAGAGAAAAGCAGATGGCGGAGGCCATGTCTTCAGGTGCTGATTCTCCCAAATCACTTCCAGTTTCATTATCAACCCACTTCATGCTGCATATCCTGTCTCCAAACGCCTCTGTGGTTTCCTCTATAGTCAATCTTCCTTTAACTTAGTTTGAGTGGTTTTGTTTTCTTGTAACAAGTGTTTTTCTTTGTGTCTTTAGTCATAGAGAGAAATAGTTTCTCAACTAGTAGTTCATCAGAGCAGGAACATTTTCAGAACACTTCCCCTCCGGATAGTAGGGGTAGCAACAAGATGGGAGAAGGGTTCTTCAGCGGTTAGAAAAATGTAAATAAGTATTGCATAAGTCACAGTTCTACTGAGGGCCTACCTCAGCATCGCACTCACGCACGCACGCACGCACGCACGCACAGGATCGAATGAGCCTCTTCAAACCATAACAATAAAAATACAGAGATCACATATAACAGTTAATGTTAATTGTAAACTTGATTGGATTGAGAAATGCCTACAAAATTAGTAAAGCCCATATTTGGGGATATCTCTTGAGAGTGCACTTAGAACGTAGAGATTCTGACTTAATTAGTGTATGGATCACTTGATCGTTCATGATATGATGAGAGTAAGGTAGGAGGTGGGGACTTGGGTGGCAGAGTAGGTCCCTGGGGATGCATCCTTCAGGGCTATCTCCTGCTCTGGCTCCTTACAGTATTCCTCCTCTGGTTCCCACCCTTCATGAGGTGAGCAGCTTCTTTATTTACCACATATCCCTGTAACCATGATGCCCTGCCCAAAAGTGTGGGGCCAATGACAGGGCGGGGGTGGTGGTGGTGTGGTGGTGGGGCAGTGATCTTAATAAAACTGCATACCAAGATAACTTCTTCTGTTAAGGTGTTTTTTTTTTAGGTTCCCCCCCCCCACAATCACACAAGAGTAACAAGTATAAATAAGTAAAAATCTCCCTTTTGCTTCTCTGGATTTGTGTGTTGCTGTCACCTCTACGGGAACGTCTTCAATTTCTAATCATCCTTCCTCCACTTCCAAAGTACTAGGGTTACAAGTGTGGTCTACAACACACATTTATATTCCATTGTAATTTTTTTTTATATGAGACAGAGACTTTCTATGTAGCCCTGCCTGGCCTGGAACATGCTATGTAGACCAGGATGGCATCAAATTCCTCAAGTTATCACTTGACTTCAGAGCTCTGAGGGCAGGAGATAATGTTGCTCCTATTATGGGTGCAAGAGAGAAACATGTGTGTTGCTTTTTCTTTTCGTAAATTGGAATTGCATGCTTTTTCAGAAACCCGTACATCTCCAGTGAGTCCGTGGTCACCGAGATATCTGAAGAGGGATGAGCTGGAACCATCTTCAAGATGGACTGTCCTATAATAAAGAAACTAGTAATAGAACATCAGGGCTGCTTGTGCCTGGAGGGATCAGTGCAGCGAGCCGGATGGCACATCTTTGCCTGGATGCACGTTAGGGGACATAAGGCTGTAACAGCACCACAGACATGATCCATGGCTCCCATTGACTCTGATCAGACTGCGCTTGAGGGGTATCACATTCATGGAAGCCATCTAACATTCAGTTCATGCACATAAGCAAACTTGAGTTCCTGCTGACATTATTTACACGTGCCCTGGTAAGTGACAATTTGGGAAAGCCATTCGTCCTCATGGCTCCGGCATAGTTCTCGTCCTCTGGCATACTCCCCTCTCCATGTCCCTTGCTGTACTCAAGATGCCAAGCTCAATCTTGTCTCCTCATCCCTGTTCCTTCTTACGACTATAGCCGTTCGCCCTGCCACTGGTGATCCTTCAGCTGTACAGAATCCACATAGTATGCGGTCCACGTTCTGCTTGGAAGCTAACAGCTGTCAGCAAGCCCAGATGCCAGTGCCCAGCACTTGCTGTGGTGCTGGGACTAGACATTCAAACGTAGGCTGAATAGCAACACCACTATGGTTATAATGAAATAGGTGACAAGAAACCTTTATACACTGGTCTAACACTGATGTATGTCGTTAAAATAAGCATTTTAATCTCCATGAGTTTATCTGTTAAAATAATGAGCCCAGATGTCCATGAAGTGGGAAAAAAGGGAAGTGGAGGCAGGGTCTTTTGCTCTCTATCCCAGCTTATTTCTTCACAACAATCACCCCATCCTCCATTCTCTGATTTGATAGCTATCTGCCACTGGTCTATCTCATTAAATCATTTCTTGAAATTACTGCCCTCGTTGGGCACCAGATGGAGTGTTTTTCTAATTATTTTTTTAACAATAAAAACTCAGGAGACAGATATTAGAGTAAGAACCTGAATGATCAGAGAAGCAGTGGATAAGCGACCAGTAACCTCCTCTCCCTCCCTCCTCGCCCCCCCTCTGATTCCTTCATACAAAAGGACTGAGACCCTCTCTAAGCCCCACCCTACTACTTCCTGTGTCTATCTATGCTCAGTCCTCCAAAACCTCTATGGTTAATTTTGGTCAGCTGGTAGCTAGCTCTGCCCACTGATTCAAAACAAACTCTATTGTCAGGTTTGGGAGCAACAAAGTGTGATCAAAATATCACACAATGAGGTGCTATCTTGGGCAGGTTCAGGTGGGGCTCTCAGTCAGCCATTGTCAGCTGTGTATGTTCAGGTCCACTCACTGGTCAGAGCTTCAGTTTCCCCATCTTTAGGCCCGTGATAATGATACTAGCAATGACATTATTAATAATGATGTTGATACATGCCTAGCTTCCTTGGCCGTTCATCTAACAAGCATTTGTAGAGCACCTGTATGAGGCAGGCTGGAGATACACCAATGAATAAAGCACTAAGGATCTCCTTTGTTCCATCATCTGCACTGGGGAGGCAATGGTTGTGCCGAGGGGCAGAGGTCATGGGAATCTATGAAAAAGAAGCAAGAGCTGAATGAATGAGCAAACTGAGTTGTGTGCAGAGAGATGATTGGCACTGGAGCAGGAAGGCTCCGGAGTGTGTCCAGGTGGCCAAGAGACCACACTGGGAGAGCATGATGGGAACAGACTGGTCTCAGATGGGGTTGTTGGCCGAGAGGTGCTAAGAAAAGGCTGGTTCACGCAGCAGGCATTGCTTAGCAAAGGCTCTGAGGTGGAAGCCTGCCTGCTGTGTGCTGTGAGATCAGGAAGGTCCCTGTGCCCGAAGCCACGCTGGGAGAGCAGCTGGAGAAGAGGGAAGGGTGAGGGCAGAGAGCATCACGTGGGGCCTCTGGAGAGACCTCAGAGAAACAGGTTCTGAGGTGGCAGGCGTGGGGCACAACATTCTGTGTTGTAATCCTGGGTTTAATGCAAGTAACCGACTAATTTTCCTTTCTCCCTCATGCTTCTGCCTGATGGTTTTGTAGCCCTAGGTCAGCCATCTTTTCAGGATTTTTTTTTTTTTTCTGGTAGTTTGCTATGCCCTTAATGAAATAGGGGGCACCTTGGCACTCAGCAGGGAGCACTGATGGCAGTCATGTTTTGGTACCTTATACTCTGAAAATATCACTCATAAAGAGGAAGGCTCGTGACAGGTGGCAGCCGGGCATGGTGGCACACGCCTGTGACCCCAGCACTTGGTAGAAGGGTTTCAAGTTCAAGGGCAGCCTAGGGAAGAAGACACTGAGTTTGAAGGCAGCCTGGGTCACAAAGCCAGACACTGTCTCAAAACAAAACCGAAATCTCAAAAGCAGAGGATAGGAGCGGGGCTCGCCAGCTGTCTCTCAGTCCCACCCACGCAGATCACCCCAGCTTTTGGTCAAACAGCAGTCCGCCGAAAGAATGTTGATTTCTAATCGGATTTGAGCAGAAGTAACTTTTAAAGATAGACGAACACCTCCCAGCACGGAGAGAGAATAGGGTTCTCATTGATGGCAGCAGGGCCCGAGCCTAGCTTTTCTCTTTGTAGCTGTACGCCACCCGCCACCCCACCGTGGTGCGGCTCAGCACACACTGTTCAGTGCGCCTGCTGTGCCGAAGAACAATAAACCCAGGCTCAGGCAAACCCTCTCACTCCTTAAGTGCCTTAACCTTTGCTGAAGCAGGAAGACCAGGCATGAATCTGGAGCCAGCAGGGGGGCTGAAAATTCTCTAGATGGTTTGACTCATCATATGATAACAGGAGAAGACTTAAATTCCTATTTGACTTCTTCATGGAGATAGGAATGCTTTAATTTAAGAGATGAAGAGTGGAAGAGATGGTTTACAGAAATTGTATGTTAATAACGTTAATACATTCAACTCGGTTGATGACGTTCCTTAAGAACACTGGACGAGGAGATAGCTTGTAAAAATACCCCAGCTTGTACAGCCGTGGCATGTATGCGAGCGCTGATCTGTGTTTGTTCTTTAGAACCCTGGCCGCTGACACAGTTTTAACAAGCTAATGTTGGTGGAGCTCCCCTCTGAACAATAGTGGACAAACAGTGTTTCCTTTGGCCAAGTTGGTCTGAATAGAGCTGTGGGAAAAATCCTCAAACTGAACCACAAGCAGTGTAAAAATTGGCCGCTTTCTAGGTTCTGCACAGAAAGGAAACAAGTTGGCCTTTTTGGGGCTGCTGTCCCTTGCCTCTTCCCAAGACAAAGGCTGTTTGCTGCATTCTCATAGAACGGGACGCGGGGAGTGGAGACTTGTACAACTGTTCAGAAAAAAGGAGGGTGGTGAGTGCTCAGGTTCTGTGTTGTTTTCTCAGGGATTGTACAAACACACGCAATACCAGCAAACGGAGCAGAGACTGGAGAGAGAAACACAAGGGGAGGAGAGCTGAAAGAAGTCAAGTTCACTGACAGGAGGTAGGGGGACCCCATGCATGCCTGATTGCAGTTAGAACTCCATCTAAGATGGAATTCCCTGTAAGGTGACAGAAAACCAATGGCCAGTGAAGTCAGCATACAGACTGTCTGGGCTATGATGGGATGTGCTAACTTGCACAGGTATGAGGCCGATGGACAAATTGCTTTCCATAACTTTTCAAGGAGCAGAGTTGAGACAGGTCTGACAAAACATGTTTCAGATTCACCAGTAGAAAGGCCCTTGTGGAGATCTAGCAGACATTTGTATTTACAGCCATCCTGCAGATTCTGGGCCCAGCAGGTTCGAGGACAGGCACTTTCCCATCTGTTCCCTCATTTGATCCGCACAGCAACTGACACAGTTCTATAAAGCTATCAAGGCCAGATAAGGAAGATAAATCAGACTAAATCTAGCAAGGGACGTTTTAGAAGTTCTTACCCATTCACTTAATTAAAAAAAAAAAAGTTGGGCTTACCCAATACTAATTAAGCACTTGTTCTATCCCAAGAATTGTTTTGCATGTTTTATAAATTTCAACTAAAAAAATGAGAGAAAATACAAGAGGTACGCATCTTTTATTATGCCTGTTTTAGAGATGAATAAACTGAGGCAAAATAGCTAAGTAACTTCTCCAATGATACACAGCTAAAAGGCCTGAATCCAGACCTAAGTTTCTATCATCTTTAAAACAAAACAAGCCAGGCGGTGGTGACGAATGCCTTTAATCCCAGCACTTGGGAGGCAGAGGCAGGTGGATCTCTGTGAGTTCGAGGCCAGCCTGGGCTATAAGAGTGAGTTCCAGGAAGGGTGCAAAGCTACACAGAGAAATCCTGTCTCAAAAAACAAAAACCAACCAACAAACAAAAAAACCAAACCAAACCAAAAAACCAAAAAACAAAAAAACAAAGCAAAAACCAAAAAAAACATTACTAGACCAAACAAACACTACTACCACAACAGAGTCTCAGTCTGTATCTCAGGCTGGTCATCATTTTAATATTTTAGCTACCATACCATGTTACTTCTAATAGTGAGGATTTTTTCTTTTTTAAATGATGAGGTTTTACTATGTAGCCCTGGCTAACTTGAAACTCATTATGAGGCCTTGAACTCACAAAGATCTACCTGCCTTTGTCTCCTGATTAAGGGTACGCACCACAATGCCTGGCCATTGTGAGGATCTTGAGGGTCACTTAAGGGAGGGTTGACTGATGTGCTAATGTCTGCGCTCCGGATTTTCTTGTGCTTCATCCTGATGTCGGACCAGTGACCATTTGTAAACTTTTAGGGTAAGTCCGGCCATAAGAATTTTTGGCTCCCATGTTTACTTTCAAACTATATCTATGTAGACAGTACACTTGACAACTGGAAGTTGGCCACAAGTTCTCTAATGAAAGAACTCAAAATGCCAAGTTTTCAGTTTCCTTTTTTGTTCAGCAATTCCTTGAGAAATGGAGCTGGCTGACACGGGCATACTCTACAAGTGCAGATTTTGACGTGTTTATATTGTGTTAGATAAGGCCACCTAGTCCACAGACTTGAAGACTCTAAGACCACTTTAGGTGTTTCACTGAGATCTGTCTCTGATCCATGGGAACAGAGACCTCTTGATTTCACTGGATGGTGCAGGTGGGTGCAAGGGTAACCATTCTGCCTGGGCATAGCTATTTGGGGACGCCTTGACTGACAGCTTCCCTCAGCAGGTTGGGTTTGCAGTAGGAACTCAGTGGAGAAGAGGTTAAGGACCAGCTACAACAAGGCTTATATAAGCAATGAACAAAGCACAAATCTTGTTTTGCTATCTGTCATTTCATGTTAGTAGGTGATTGAAGGGACTGGTTCTGTCGATGGTTGTCATGGATATGCACTGCTCCAACTGCTCCCGGATTATAATAGAACCAGTGATGCTGAGTTTAGGAATGTCAAACAAAGGGATCTGACTTTATCAAACAGTGGAATTCTATGTATCAGCATCTGAGACTAATCAAGATGCTCACAGTCATGTCTATGACTTCCGAATTCAAGAGATGGATTTGCTGTAGAGATGCTTCTACTGATGGCAGGTATATAAGATCAAATGCACAGAGCAGTGCCAATAAGATCTTCATTGCTGTACTCTTTCACTTAATTAATTTATATATAGACCATATATAAAATTATACACACATACACAGCCAGCCTTATTTACGTTTGTCTTCTCCTGCCTCCATGAACTGATTCAGAATACTGACCTGTGAGCAAGGAACATGGAACATAATTTGTTCTATTTTGAGATTTAAAGAAACGCACTGCAGAATCTTTCTGTTCTTGTGTGCATTTGGTGGTCTGAACCACTTTTGGCTCAAAATTGGAGCTACTTTGGATTCTAGGACTCTGTGTTTGTGTGTCTCTTCTCGCTATGCAGTCTGTAGCTAGGCTAATTTCAGATGTGTGCATGTCAGAATAATAGAGCCACACTTAAAAAATTCTATAACCCAGCATTTTGGCTCACTTAGACTTACCTGACAGAATCAGTAAATTAGTTTTAGGTCACATTATTAAGTGACATTTTAAAATGTACATTCTCGGGAGGGCAACATTCAGCTACTTTTTCCTCTCATGGTGAGCGAGCATCTTGGTGTAAATCAAGTCAATTGGATGTCATGTTATGATATGACCCCTACACAAAGCAGAACCAACCATAGAATATCCACCGGCTGACTGGAAAACCATTCAAGAATAGGGAAGAGACAGAAAATTTCCAATGCAATCCCCACGTTCAAGTACCCCCAGGATAGGAGCACTGGCATAACTTTTATAGGCTTTCATTCAGTGTTCACAGCCTCTTTCTTTTTAGTCCATTTTCTTTTACCCCTCTCATGAATTTCCTTGCTCCCCTTTGATGACCTTATGAGATAAACTTCCCATTCCACCAGAATATTATCAGCCACTTTGAGCTGCTGAGTAAATGTGTCTCCCTTCTGTGATCCCCACCAGACTGAAAGCATGGTAGGAAAAGCCTCTCCTCTCCAGACTGTCCATTCACAGGGACAACGTGTCTCAGTTTGAATCCTGCCACAACTCTAAACACATAAGAGACAGAGAACACGAGTCCAGGCCCTGGGACCCATCAGCATGCCTCCAAACCTCAGCATTGCCATCATAAGCTGTCCTGTGGCAGAACACATATGCTCCCTTGGACTGTTTCATAATCAGAGCTGCGTGTAAAGCTTTAAGTAGAATCTCTAGCACAGAGAGTGAGTACTCAATAAACACTGGCCTCTTTTATGAGAGAATCTGGAGCTGGAGATCTCAGCACAGACATCAACCCAGCTCTGTCCTTGAAATAGCGGTGTACCTTACTTAAATTCCTAGTTAGGCAAATATGAACCATTGGAATTTTCTGACACAGGCCACTATTGACCCACAAAATTGGCCACTTACCCATTTTCTCTGCTTCAACAAATACAGTAATATTCTCTGTGCTTCTGCTTCTTAACTCATTAAAAATAGGTTCAATAATACGATATCATAGGCTCCTCATGGGTAGTAAATGAAGTATTAGCATTCATAAGTGTGGGGGAACAGTGCTTGCTTGGTATATAGAGAATGCTATTGTGGCTGGTGAGCTGGCCCAGTGGGTAGAGGTACTTGCTGCCACACCTGATGAGCTCCAGTCCTGGCATCCACATGGTAGAAGCAGAGAATCAACTCACAAAAGTTTTTCTCGACTTCCATATGTGCACCATGACATGTACATGCTTGCACACGCAAGGGTGCACACACATACATACACACACCCTTTAATCATATGTAGTGTGTGTATTTCTGGAAATTGATTTAGGGACTCCTGTATGCTAGGCAAATACTCTGTTGCTGAGTTTTTATATATATTCTTAGCTCTGGAAAGTAATATTGTTATTACTATTAGTAATAGCATTTGCTATTGTTATTTTTGTTACCCTTAGATATAATTACTGCTCGACTCACACTTTTTTTTTTTAATCAAGAAGTGCTCTTGACTATTGAGCCATCTTTCCAGCCTTGTGGTTCTGGCTTTTTGAGCTAGGATCTCATCTAGTTGAGATTGGCTTCAAACTCACTTTGTAGCTAAATATGACTCTGAACTCCTGATGTCCTGCACCTATCTCTTGAGTACTGGGATTACAGGCTTGTGCCACCGTATCTGGCTTCCTAATAGTGACATTTATTTCTTTATTGGGCACAGGCTAGGCAAGGACTCCATCCTTGAGATGCATCCTTAACCCTTTACCAATGATGTCATCTTTAGTCACATTGCATCACTTAACAAAATATAATTTTCATAGCAGAATTCTCATATGCTAACTTAACCAAGAACCTACCTGGAGATTATAAGTAACTAGATTCCTAAAATAGCATCATTCTGGACACCAAAAAAAACTTGTTTAGTTGTTTTTAACCTCATCAGACTTGACAACTTTTTCATACTAACTAGTTTCTAGGTCTCCTTTACTCTGTATGATATAGTTTACCTGTGTACATAGCCATGGAAAAATCAATATAATGTCTTTTCATATAAAAGAACAAAAGGAACAAAGTAACACACATCTGAACTTATAAACGCTTGGGCATAAGTATTCTAGATGCTGCTATGAGGCAGTTGTGTTTGATTATAGAGAGGATTTCCAGGAATGGGACAGACACAAATGTAGATGGATGTAAGCTCCAAATACAGTGACTGCTTTGTCACGAGAAAGCTGATTTTCCAAGATGGTGAACCACCCTAGAGAAAGTTCCACAGCAAAAAAATGCCACTGCCCTTGATATTCATGGTGGTTTCATGACTGGAGAAATACGTGACTTATTAAGAACATGCAAAATTGTATTAATGTATTTAAATGTAAGGTGGAGTTAGGTTCAGATAATTATAACCAGGTTTTTCATCCACATGATTATTTTCTGGGATATTAAAAATCTGTAGACAGAGAACAAGGCTTGATTGTTAGATCTTATCCCCTCTAAGGACTGGCAAGAAAAAAAAGTCAAGATTTTTAAGACAAAATCTCCAAAATGCAGAGGTGATGTTACCTCAGTCAAGGCCACCAAGAGCAAAGTCGAGTTCAGTCACTTCATTTTACAGGGAAGTACTAGGTTAGGTTCACATGACCTGCTCATTAGGACAAAGCTGAACTAGAAGTCAAGTTTGCCAGCTACTAATCTACAGGATTGTTGGATCATCAAACATACTGGGAACCTTTGGATCAGTGCTATAGTGGAGGTCAAATCATACAAATTATAACACACACACACACACACACACAAACACACACACACGACACCATCATTATCATCCTCCTCAATGTCCATATCAACTTCATTCTTACACAGGACCATTTTTAGGTTTTATACTGAACAGAGAAGTGAGTTCAAACCTTTATGCTGCCTAAAAGGCTCACACAACCTAGTCCTTGTCTGCCTCTTTAGTTTCACTTGGTGTCATTACCTCCTTACCCATCATGCTCCCACCTTGTTGGTCTGTTATCAGGCTCCCAGCGGGACTCACTCTCTTTCCAGCCTCAAAACCTTTGCACAAGTAACTTTACCTCCCTAGGTTCTTCTGACAGTCTTCTGTGCATTTTGCATAGCTTGGCTTAGAAGCAAGCCACTTCCTCAGAGGGCTTTTCCTTGAGACTCTACTGTGTCCTTTTAGAGGTTTTCATAGCATTCTATCTTTCTTAATCACAGACTTACAGGGCTCAAGCTTATGTGGTTTTTTTTTTTTTCATCTTACTTATATGGATGTGTGGTGGTATTGTGTTCCCCAAAATATTGTGCACCCTAATAAACTTATCTGGGGTCACAGACAGAACAGCCACTAGATACAAAGGCTAGAAAACGGTGACACTCACACCTTTAATCCTAGCATTCCAGAGGCAGAAATCCATGTGTTCAAGGATACAGCCAAACATGGTGACTCACATCTTTAATCCCAAAAAGCGAGCCTTTAATCCCAGGGAGTGGTGGTAGAAAGCAGAAAGGTATATAAGACGTGAGGACCAGAAACTTGAAGCATTTGGCTGGTTAAGTTTTTAGGCTTCTAGCAGCAGTTCAGCTGAGATCCATTTGGATATGAGGACTCAGAGGCTTCCAGCCTGAGGAAATAGGATCAGCTGAGAAACTGGCAAGGTGAGGAAGCTGTGGCCTGTTCTATCTCTCTGATCTTCCAGTTCACCCCAATACCTGGCTCAGGTTTGATTTTATTAATAAGAACTTTTAAGATTCATGCTACATGGATGTTTTGCTGGCATGAATATCTGTGCACCACATG